GTAGTTATTCTTGACCATCAAATCCCATGGATTCTACTTTTGCAAAGTGTCTTGCATTTGACCACATCTTACGGTGCTCACTGAGTCATTCTTGCATTGTCACGGGGCCTCCTAGCTTGTCAGCGAAGAGCAGGGTCCTTGTCTTACTCATCTTTTCTTGTTACTCAGTGTCCAGCACAGTGTCTTGCTCAAAGAGGCCCTCACTATTTGTGGAATGAATGTCTCCCATTTAAGTGTTTCAGTGCTTTTCTTGCATTTCATGGACTATTTGTCATTGAACATATTTTCCACTATTAGTTTTTTAAAATTTTTTATTCTTAATGAAGCAAGCACCAGAATAAGATTTCCTACCCAGAGCTATAGTATTTCTGCTTTTTCAGGAAGAGAAATTAGCTAAGGGTTCACGGGCCAGGAAGCATTCGTTTAACTTTGCTTCTTTTTTTTTTTTTTTGTCTTTTGTCTTTTTCCGTGTCCGGCAACGGATCGCAACCTGCACGGGCCAGGAAGCATTCGTTTAACTTTGCTTCTTGAGAACCAGATATAACGCATAGGATTATTATGTTTTCATGGAAATTTTAAATAACTCACATCTCCCTTTATACCATGATTTTTCTGCTTTTTCTCTTTATTTTTAACAGGTTTTCAAAATGGAAACTATCATAATGACATAAGATGCTGCTGATAGTACATCAGTATGATTCATCTCTTCCCCTGCCCAGCAGAGTGTGGCTGCTGTGTGCACAGCCATGTAATACATATTAGTTACACAGACATTAGAGAAGCCCTGCCTATCCATATGTATGTGCGTGGTCCGTAGAAGTTAATAATACCATGTATCACGTGCACATAGAATGTAAAATGTACTTCCAAATGACAGCAGGCTCATATAAGATGAGTATTGGTGCAGGATTGGAGAGGAAACCTGGAAAAGATTTTTGTCTTTTTAAATAGTAATTATATGTCTGTTTCTGTGTGTCTCATATCCCAGACCCTCATCTGCTTTTTTCTTTTTGTCAATATATGCCACTCTCTCCAGCCACCTTATTTCACTTCAGCCACATGGATAACAAAAGAACCCCTTTGGAGAAATGAAAGATAGCAATTACACATTGGTATTCATGTTACAGGAGTCCCGCTGCTATCCTTAGGGAGTTTAACAATGAATATCCAGCATTAATTGCCACAGTAACTGCACGCCTGACCTTGCTGAAATGTAATACATCAGTTTTACATAGTAAAATTATTTGCCACTAAAAAATTAAAAATGAATGATCATAAAATTATATTGCTGTTTAGAATTACCAATATTTTTTGTTTTTAAGAAAATCCTGGAGGACTTAAATGACTAGGTTGCTACATTTTCTCAGGAATCAGGATACTAGGAGTTGAAATCAGAATTTTATCACTGATTTGGTTGCTAATTATGTCAAGATCAGTGCTTTCCTGTTCTTGGGAAAGGTGAATGAAATACATTGACATTCCTTATTCATCTGTAGAACTGATTAATAAGTAAGACACACATTGAATATGGTACTTTTTATCCCTTGGGGGCAGGAATACCTTTCTCTTTCATGTTTGTACCTAATTGTAGGTAGGATTTTCTGTCAGTAGCAGAAACATGCTAGACCCCTAACACGTTTCCCTTTTTTGAGAAGAGGCGACATCATTTTTAAGGTGAAACCTACTTGCTGTCAACTTTTCTTTCTTTAATCTCGTGCTCAAATCATCAGAAATCTATAGGTGTATTTTCTTACAGGCATTTTACAGTTCTTTTTTCCCGGGCTACCTTACGCTTCCTGGGTGTTGCACACTGGGAGGATTTCACACTCAATGCTCTGGAAGTGCTCATCACTCAAGCCAGAGCCCACACTGCTGGGTCAGCAGCAAGCATCCTCTGTGACAGAGCCACGTCAGCGGGCCGCGCTCGCTCTGGCTGTGGAAGCTGCGTGTGCAGAAATGAACGGTGGTTCAGCCTTCTCTCCTGTTTGAAGGGGACTGAGGTGAAGAAAGTCAGTGCACTCACCCGTGACATCCAAATTTCAGCCCAGATGAGATTCTAACTGGAGATCCATTTTCACTTGTATTCTGGTAAAATTAGGTCCATGATAAATTTGAAGCCCATCTAAAGTCTGGGG